TGATATTGATTCATAGAGTTGATATCAGATACTGCACTGTTTGAAGCCGCTTTTCGATTGCCCAAGCTATATTGAAGCAATGACGAGGGAGTGAGTGTCTTTGATCCCAGAGACAGACATTTGTGATGCGACTTAGAAGAAGCGGGTACATGGGCACAATAGCACTCCAAGTACCGGTACTTGAAGAGAACGCCACACCCACACACAGTAAAAACCTTCGCAGTTTTTTTTTAGTTGCCCTACATGAATAAGGTACCTATCTAGGTAGACCAGGGTTGATTCACGCGATTTGAGTCAATGGCAATGCCCTAAAACCATAGTGAAATAACAGTATGAGAAAAGAGAAGAAGAAGAAAGAATAAGCAAAAAAAGAAAAGGCCATTATTTTGTGCCGTCTGCTTGCATTCTTTCAGCTGTCAAGGTATCCATGTATACCTACCTAGGATGCGCCATACAGACTCTCAGCGTACGATAGGCAAGGTACAGTAAGTATTGCCTGTTGGGTAAGCCAGCATATGCAGGTCAACACAGCCGCACGCCTCCTCCGAGCAAAAATGCAGAACCTGACCTGAATATTGCACACCCTCCGAGACACCCTGGATATGGTCAGTGTGCCGTGCAGATGCATCGCAGATGTGGAAGAGGCCAAAGAGCCTGGCTAGTCTGGTCGGGCTTACGCTGCCCGGGGCGGGCTTGGAGGTCGGTGCCCGTCATGACCTGTAGGGTGACTTGGTGAGTGAGGTGGCTTGGCTCCCTCCAACAGTGGGCCGCCGCCTATAGCCACTTCACTAAAACACTAAATACAGGGCTGCCTTTTAGCTCATCAGTCCCCGCTCCGACTTCACCAGCAGTCCAGCAGTCCAGCACCAGCACCAGCACCACCAGCGGCTTTCTAAGTTACCCACCACCAGCACTACCTCCCAACCCCAAAGTATATCATCTCCCCACACCACCTGCACCCTCCGTTTCCCCTTCCCTCTTCTTCTTCCTTCTTTACGAGCAATTCGTCCTACGTTCTCTTTCTTCTTACTCGGTTGCGGCAGCTTAGCAGGCGATTTCACCTCAAAAGATCAGACAAGATAATACTATAGTACCGCCCATCAACCCCTACTATCCCACCTATCTACCAATCCCTGCTCTGCTCCGTCTTCCGACGTTTCTCTTTTTTGATATATTATTGCTCGACATCACTGGCACCGTATTCTGCCTTCAATCAGCTATAAACGCAACGCCCAAACGCCGACGTTTGACGTTTATTAAAACGTCCCGTTACCGTTCTACGATACCCGCCGCCCCCCGTTCCGCCCTAGCGATAGACATAGCATATATCATAGACACCCCTGCGCTCCGCTCCGCTTCGCTTCACTAACATGCCCGTCCAATTACTTCCGGCGTCGGCCGCCGCTTTCGCTCCCCGGGCTTCATCAGTCAACGTTGTCTTGGGTTCAAAAGTCGAGCCTTGGCTTACACAGACTCTCAAGCGCATCAACCGCGTCAAGCGTCCTCTCAACTCTGTACCCCAGCATCAGCGGTGCCTCACCGAGACTCTCTCATCACCAAACGCCATATGGACCTTGACCTCTCTCATGCTGCCCAAGACCCCCGACTCAGACTTCAAGCGTGATGCCAGCAACCCTCTGGTCGAGGCCATCATGAACTACGAGCTCGTACATGTCGAGGCTTACATTGTCCATGTCGACATGGTTCTGCGAAATGAGGTCGCCTACAAGCTCACCAAGGACACCATCGATGCTCTCGTCGAGTACCACAAGGAAATCCACTGTGTCGATGCAAAGGCCAACACCTACGACTGGACAGACAAGGAGCAGCAATGCAAGAAGCTTCACGACGATTTTGTTCAAGACATCAACAAGTTTGTCTTCCGCACCCACGTCTCTGCTCTCGAGGGCCTCGAGGAGGAGGGCGCTGGTGAACTCCTCTGTGGCAAGAGCGAGGAGGTCAAGAACTGCATCAGTGCTCTTATGAAGCCGCTGCTGCCTCCTCCTCCTCCTCGTGTCGTCGAAGTGGTCCGACAACCTACACTGCTCCCTAGCTCTCCTGTCAACAACATGTGGTCGCAGCATGGTCTTCACGGCAATCTTGCTGCTGTTGACTCATGGAGGGTACTTCCCTCAAGCCCCAGCGTCACATCATCGGCCGACTCAAACACAAGTCCTATCTGGGCACCCATGACCATGGATGATCTGTCACCTACTCCCGCCTTCACCCAGCCTCACTCCACGGCCGGCTTCTTCTGGAGCTCGCCTCAAGTGACAGCACCCATCCCCGCTCTCCCTCTTCCTAGTATGCTCGCCCCTGCTCAATGTGGTGTCGGCATGGGCATGACAGGAATGGGAGGCATGAGCGGAATGGGAGGCTTTGGCTGGGACCGATACCAAGAGTATGCGACCATCATGTGACAACCAGGGCCCCAGGACAGCTATCCAGTGGTGACGACCTCGAGCTATTAATACTGCACCAACCCCTTCCTCGTTTCCCGGAGAAAAGTTGAAGCTCTTAAATTTCGCAGCGGCATAGAACTATCATTCATCATGGGCACGGCATATCGGCGTTTTATTGCATCAGGAACGGTGTTTCGAACAATTTTTATAACAATATCCCCTCTCGCATTGTTTTTGTTCTTTATCTATTTCTCATTTTTTATTCTCTTTGTCTTCATAGCAAGCGATCTTTTGGTTTCGGGGAATCTGGTCTTATCACCCCCTCCGGGAAACACTCTTCAACGGTCGTTCACACAATCTCTCTATCGTCTCTGGACTTTTCTTTCATCTACCACAACACCACATGGCTGGATCCGGGGCGGGTATTTGGATGCATTTACAACTGGGCAGGGATCCGATACAGGCGGCTTGTTTTCTTTTGGCCTTTTTCCTTCTTTGGTTCTCAAGAAAAAGATGTACACGCAGCAATGCACGACGCTCGGCTCTAGTCCGAGACAGAAACTTCTCTGTGGATTCTTCGCTGATATCCCCGGGACTTTCTTTTTCCTTCTTTCTCCCCTTCTTTCCTTTATCTGTTCGGTTTAGAGAGGCTTCTTGGAAGATACCCCCTACAAACGGGGACGACACACAACTGACACACTCACTTCGCTTCGTTCTTTGGCCTGCTTCCCGATTCACGACGATATTATTTTAATGACGACCTCTTCTACGACTCGATGACGAATGACTACTTCTTTTCAGACATGATACGATTTACGAGCGAAATCACAAATAATCGGCTTGATGTCGAAACTTGACTTCTTTTCGAAAGAGTATCGAGCACTGAACCTCACGCTTCATTCGGCACGATGTCCAATCTCGAAGATGGTGACTGGACTGGCTCCAGGACATTGCATCTGAACACAAGGCCGTCTCGACTACATCGCGTACGCCACCAAGGGAATATCTGGGATATACCCACAAAGGCTTGACACTGGCTGTCAAACGGGATCACCACCTTGCGCCGATCGACTTTCAGTCTTCGGTGTGAGGAGAACGGAAGACGGAGTGAAATCATGGGATTCTTCCAATGAGCTGGGCACTGCATCTCTGCTGGGCGGAGTCAACTGCACAGTCTCTGTCTAATCCGATCTGCTCCAGCGAGCCATCCCCTGCGTTCAACAGCCCTATCCGTAGGTACCCCCATCGCCCTGAATGTGGATGAACACATGTTGCCGAGTTGAGGTGAGAACCATCGCGCCAGTTGAGCCTGCTAGACGGGCCCCGGCCGGTGGAGGACGCCGCTTCGAGGATAAACATGTGGTTGCTCACATTTGGGTCGGTGGAATGACTGGGACAGGACAGGGATGGCTGAGGGCAGAATGTAGGCTCATCTCCCTACAAACCTCTTGCGCTAGATGAGTCATCACGCAGCTCGGCCTGCCCGACTCACCACAAAGCGGAGGGGCAGCCACAAGAGAAGGGGAATCGTTACTGCTGAGCAGGGCACTCCACCTTCTCTGGACCTTTGAGTCCATCGGCTAAAGATGCTGGTATCTAAGTGACTTGGAAGGGAAACATGATACGTCCTGGCGGCGGTTCCCTTGCACAAGGACAAGTCTGCTTTGCTACAACGATTCCCTGCTCGTTGTCTTGCCGTTGCAGTATTAGTTAATCTGAACCAAAAAAAAAAAAAAAAAAACCATATTCAATTATGTGGCCTCCCCCTTTTATTGTGATGTATTTTGTGACATGTCACAAAGAGTTATTAATCAAATGAGGGCTGTAGAAGATTGGATAGGATTATATAATATTACTTCACATTCGCATCCCAGCCTAAATCTATAACTTCCTTCTATATAAACTCCTTCT